TCGTAGAATAACAAAACAAATTAATTAATTAATTAATTATATACATAAGGAAAAGAAAATACAAAAATTTTAATTTCACTTATAACAACAGCAACAACAGCAGCAGCAACAACTGCAGCAGCAACAGCAGCAACAACTGCAGCAGCAACAAGAACAGCAGCAGCAACTTCATCAACAGCAGCAACAGCAACCACAGCAGCAGCAACAGCAGCAACAAAAACAGCAACAGCAGCAACAGCAACAACAGAAGCAGCAGAATCATCAACAGCACCCCCAAGAGCAACAGCACCGCCACCAGCACCAACAGCAGCAGCAACAGAAGCAGCAACAGCAGCAGCAACAGCAGCAGCAACAGCAACAGCAGCAGCAGCAACAGCAGCAGCAACAGCAGCAGCGGCAGCAACAGCAGCAACAGCAGCAGCAGCAGCAGCAGCAGCATACCGAAGGGTGTATTTTTCCATGGATAGCTTCGTATATCTACATTAATAAGATCACAATTAATTTCTTTGCTTAGATATTCATCAACAGGAAGAAATACAGGTTTATATTGTTTATATATTTTTTCTTCTTTTGCTGCACATAAACTCTCTATTCTTTTCATTTCATCTACATGTTCTTTTGTTATTACATAACCTAAACTACCAGCAGCAGAAGGAGATATAGGTGAGGGTATTGAGTCTAGGAAGCTGCGGGGGCACCCAACAAATATAGATGAACGCATACTCCCCCGGCTGTGTGCTGCTGAGCCGTGCATTGCTGCAGCAGCAGCAGCAGCAGCAGCAGCAGCAGCTGCAGCTGCAGCAGCAGCAGCAAATTTCAAGTCCTTATTCAGAAATTGCTGCTGCAGTAATAACAGCAGCAGCAGCAGCAGCAGCAGCAGCAGCAACAGCAGCAGCAGATACAGATATCACTCTGATCCTTCTTTCGTTGTATGATGCGGTGTATTTCTTTGTTTCTTTTTTTTCTTTTGTTTTCTCTTTCTTTTTGGTTTTTTTTTCTGGTTTTTTTACGCTACTCGCTGCATGCATGCAGCGATGAATGGAGTATTAAAAGCTGCTGCATGCGGTGTATATACAGCTGCTTTCTCTGAAATTCATAAAAAATATTTATTTCTGCTGCTGCTGCACTTTTGCTGCGAAGTTGAACTGCGCAGCCGACTCGTGCGGGTGATGATGCTGCTGCTGGCTTGTGTAAGAAAAGAGAAAAACTTTTTTTCTTTTTTTTTAAATATATTAAATAAAAAAGAATATATCATGCAAGATATTATTAAATTCCTAAAAAAAATATCTTGAATCCATCATCAACGATAGAAAAAGTTTTTATGTTTCATTCAGATCTGCTGGGGGGCGGGCGGTATACAATACATATAAGGGGCCCCGCAAGCTGCTGTATTCCTCTTTAATATCAAAGATCCTCCATATACACCGGAAAATATCAAAATAATTCAACTATTTCTCTTAATTTAATGCAAAAAAAATATTTTTTAATCATGAAAACAACCAGAAAAGCCCCCCCCCCCACCCCCCCCTGGGTTGCAGCGCCACCACCGACCGACGGCTAAACCCTCTTTGCTTCTCTGCACGCACCAACAACACTAGAAAAAAACAAGAAAACATGAATTTTATATTTTTTAAATTAATATTTAATTAATTTATTATTTATTCCATCAAAATATACACCATTTCCCACAAAAAAAACACCTGAAACACCCCTCCCCCAGCACGCCACCACCACCCTAGCTACACGAGCGGGTCGCCATAGAATACACAAAAAAAAGAAGAAAATAACTAAAAATATTCAAAAAAAATTCTTAAAATAATATTTTTATTTTTATTTATGTTTATATTGAGGCATTTCATCTTTTTTTTTTTTTTTTTTTTTTTT